ATTAAAAAAAAATATTTTTCATTTTGGTTAAAAACTTTTATAAATTTTAAAGAAAACTGTGAATATTAATGCGGAGAAAAGAGCCTTGAACAGAAAATTTTTTAAATATACAAAGCGTTAGAGTTAGAGAATGAAAACCGACAAAGAAATAATAAATGGAAACAAAGCAGGATAAAATAATAATTTGACTTGGTTTAGTTTGGGCAAATTTTTTAAATGATTTTAAATAGACGTCATAAGGTGAAAGTAGTGATCATAATATTAAACTGCTTTTTGTGTATTTGAAGTATTTTAATGGCTATTTAGTTTCTGTTTTGTTTTACGCGCATTTTCTCTTTTGTTATATTTCATTTATGCATGCATGGCGATTTAAAATCATAATCGTATCCTTGAAAACATAAGAAACAGAAATGTTATAATAATAGTAGTAAAATATTATTATATCTGTCAAGTTTGTAAATCAAGAGAGCTCCCAAATAGGAATAGGAAAAACGACTTATATGTTTAACAGAATAAAACACAAGTTGTGTACATTTTTTTAACAAAAATGTTATAATTTTCGACATTTTTTTCTGTATAAATATAAAAGGTTTTACGATTTAGGTGTTCTACTCTTATGTTTTTTAGCTTTTACGTTAAGCTTTTACAAAATGAAAAAACAAATTCATTTCCTACTAACTATCTTTCACTTAATAAATGAAGAGGATTTCTTTATTCGTATTTATAGAAAAGAATGTTCTGTGTGGGATAAGTTTTAATGATGTTTTAGTAACTTTTTACGAACTTTGGAGATTGAAATGTTAGTGAGTTAGTTATTTGTTGGCAACAAATGAGACCAATTAAAAATACTGCGGTACTAACTTTTGCAAGTCTCAAAATCCGAAAACTTAGAACGTTATTGTTTTTATATGCATAGGAAGTTATACAGAGTTAGATCTTGTACTCTGATTTTTTTTCAGTTAGAAAAAATAAATAAACACTTCTAAAAATTATATTTAAGAAAAAGAGAAAGACTAGAGAAATAGGATGAAAAATTTTTTAAATATATGAAGTATATCTGCACAATTCAACACTTATTTTAATACAATAAGAGTTCCTTTTAATAAGAATGAGATTTCCTTAATTTACAAGGGTTCATTGCATGTTAATATTTTCTACTACAAAGTTAATGTAAAATCAATAAAGTTGGGACATATTCGTAATGAAACTCATATTAATTCAATCAATATTATGTTCAAGTATTTTGAATTCTCCAACAAACTCTGCCACAAATCCCTAAAATTTATAAGACATAATAATTTTTTCAAAGTGATTTTTCATTGGTTTTAACTTTGTTTTATTTTGCTTAATTTAAATTTAAATGTGTATATCTTGTTGTTCTTCCTTAACATTATTATAGCTAAATTTTGTTGTGGGGGACACAATATAAACACAGAAGAATAGAAACATTTTTGCGCTTGTAACATAATCTGTAAGTGTAATAGAACTTTTTTGTTAAAATAATACATTTTTTTTTGTATGGAAAAAAAGCTTTATTAACCGTGGACATTATAGTTATCCTGATTGTTATTATATATATATATATAAGTGTGTATATGTCTATCTATGTTATAATGTAATAAAATGGGGATTTGTAAAATGAAATTCCAAAAAGATTGAAATCACAAAAGAAATTCAGTATTATGGTTTAAATCCAATTTATGAAATAAAAATAAATAAATTTGGGTTTTAACCAATGGTTTTTAAAATAGCACATTTCCTTTTATCAAGCTAAGACAATTGCATACTTTTAAGGGATGATAGAGAAGGAGTTGTGAAAAGCATTAACATAATAGGGGGGTTTCGGCTATTTACTAGGTCAATTATGTCAAATAATTACATTCTTTTATAATAAGACATTCACTGTTTTCTTTTTTGTTTACCAAAATTACCAAAAAATACTAAAAATTTTATTAAAAATAAAGTAATTGTTCTATTCTCCACTTCCTATCCTATTCTCCACTTGGAGTAGAGAATCCTATTTCTCCACTTGGAGTAGAGAAATAGGATTGTCGCAAGAATCCGTTTGTTTTCTGTCTTTAAGAATTTGGTGTTGTATAGTTAATAAAATCTTGACCGACGGATAGAACGGAACTAATAAGAACATTTTTTTCCAAATTTGTTGGAAATGTTCTAAATAGTAGACATTTATAGCAAAATAAAATAAAAAAAAACAAAAAAATTATTTTGTAGGTTCACGAAAAAATTATATTTTCCTATATAAAAGGTTACCTAACGATACAAAATTCAATTTTCTCTCTGCCTAAAATTGTGGAAATAAATATCAAGATTGCTGCTCTTTCTTAAATTACTCTAAAATTTATTAAATTACTCCTTTCCATTTGATTACATAGTGTAACAAATATACTTTTATTTAAAATGAAAGAAGCCTATGTCTAACACAAATAAAATCAAATAGATTTTACGGAAAATGAAGAAGCAGAACAAATTTTTTGTTTTAATTTCAACCGTTTCATGACAATGTCATTTACGAAAACCGTGTTAATTTAAAATAACCATTCATAAAATTCTATCTACTAACAGTCTATTTCAAAACCGCGCAAAATAGTTCTTGAAAGAATTTATTAATGAAAAAAAAATATATGATTATTATTGGAATTATGTTGTTCTCCGCATTATTAAGTGATAACTTAATCGAAATAACATAAAATATGAAGAATATAAAAAATAAAGGAAATGATTAAATTTTGAGAGTGCAGTTGGCAATCTTAATATCGAACGTAAACATATTATTCTATTAGATAATTTAATATTGTAAAAATATATACATTTACACATAAATTAATAATATGTTTTGACCACAAAAAAGAAAATTGTGAATAGCTATGCAGAATTTCGTAAATGTAACAAGATGAAGCAGTAGGACTTTAACAATATTAAGAATGATTAAAGTAGTTTTTAATTTTGGCTAACTAAGTTTAATAGTTATAATTATAATTTCATTTTTTTTTTTTAATAATTCCACTTCATTATTTTACTATTAGGACTGTGTAGCGGTTGCTATTGTTATACAAGGTGTACTTCTAATATATTTTTTGGTTTTGTTCGCTTTGTATGAGAATTTGTTGTTTTATTTGAAGACAAGGAACATTTTTAAGATTTTAAGTACATCTTTAAGACATTTTGTATAAAATTTTGTTTAGATTCAATAGCAAAAATTCCTAGTAATGTATCTTTATTCACAACTAATAAGAAAGTTACATTGGTAATGAAGATAATGGACATAAGAAAATTGAAATTTTGAAAATTCTCAAAATAAAAACCAAATTTTGTTAAGCAAATTTTGTTAACCTTCACTTGACTATGATTGATGAAAAAGAGAACTCATGATTGGATAAGTTTTAATAGCCCTTAATAATTCAAAAGTTTATCATGAAATAATTTTAACTATAGTTGTTTAATGTGTAAATTTTTATCCTCCATTTTATTATTTTGTTTATTTTATAACTTATTCTAAATTTCTGTTCTATGAATTAAAGAATTTTGTATTAGTTAAGAATTTAGATGGAAAACTATTTTTAGAGTAGGTTTTTTTTCAAAATGCTTTATACAAGTTCATAAAAGTGTTAGGTGTGACAAATGTAAGACAGACTGATATTAAAATTGATTCGAAAATTTAATTCAAAAATTCTGTTACTATAAAATTAAACTTAAAAAATTTAGTAGAACTTGTATATGATTAAAAATGCTATTTCTTAAAGAAGGTTCAATAAATTTGTTTCAACTTGAGACAAAAATATACAAAACAGCACAACAATTATTATGGTTTTGAAAGAATCAAATTCGACCATTGTCATTTATTCGACCACATCCTTAATATTTTATCGATTTCCAAATCTGAACATTTCCAGGTTTTAATAGTTAATCCAAATCTTTTATAAGCTTTTTTAGGCTTACGTTCAAAGATTTATATAAAGGCCAGCATGTATCTGACTTAAATAGTTAAAAGGAGAATTAGAGCTTTCCATATGCAGATTGTAAAATTATTATTCTATTCGATGTTCAATTTTATGAAATATTCGCGTTATGAAACTCATTAAATTTAATTGCCTTTTAATAAAATATAACAAAAACTAAGGCAAAAACAGTTCTGTTTTACAATTGCAAGAAAAGTTTTTTAAGCATCTCTCTCCAAATTACAATAAATTTTTTTAAATGTGTTAGTATTTCCATATTGACATTGAGGATACAAATTTGCATTCTGAACAATTTCGGCATATAAACAAAGGTTATTTGCTAGAAAGGTTAAAATGCTATATAAGAAATATTTCTTTTCAGAAAAAATTTTCAAAATAGTTGCAGGATATTTAGATTGACAAAGTTAAACTGGCATTTTTCAAAATAAAAGTTAGTTTTTTGAATGAAAAACGTGATCAGCGTAAAAGTAATCAATCATAAAACTTATTCTACCTGCATTCTGTGTTCACTATTAAGTTTCTGAGTTGACATTTTGTGCTTCAATACCGCATAATAAATAATGAATAAATAATTATTTAAAATAAATTTTACATTTTCATAAGTAATTGGTACATCACTCTGTCAATGGATTACAAAAAAATATTTTTAAATTAATATTATAAAATGAATATAAGAAATAATAAAGAAATACAAACCCGAATTTTGGATATAGGTTATGTTTTGTTATTTTTGCTGTCATAAGTTCTAAAGATACAAATCCTTATATAATATACACTTAGGTTCATTTTCATTTCTTTTCTTTTTCAAAATTTCCATATATGTACATGCCTAAAAATATATACCTATATATTTTGTTGTATACGTTATGCCAATTGTATATTTAAATTATTGTTATTTATATTAAAATTAGAAAGTATAAATTTGTAACTTATATCTATACATTTTTTTGCAAAACAGAAAAAAAAGAAATTATATAATGCACACATTTATAAATATTTTTATTTTTTTTTTCTCATTTCCAGATAAAGAAAAGAAAAAAAACACGAAAGGAGCAAAAAATCCTGAAAAGAAACAGAAATAAGTTTTTGTTTTCTTCTTTATTGCGAAAAAAAAATTTTTCTGAATAAATTTATTGAAATAAAGAAAACAAAAATATTTTTTTTAAATAAAATTCAGTTTTGGAACAGCCATCAAGACAACCACAATAATATTCTCTTACATATCAAAAGGACAAACGTATAGTAGAACCCAAGAAAGAAAGAAAGGAAACGAGAAAATTTACTCTAATACCAAAAAATAAAACAAAAATAAAAATTAACACAAGGAAATATAAAAATGTTTCGTCGTTTAATAAAGTTCCAAGCATAAAATTCATAAAATTCATAAAATGATGTTGTTTAGATAAAAAAAAAAATATTTTCCTTTTTTAAATTATTTTTCAATAATAAAAGTTTTAAAATTAAAATCATAATTATAATAATAAAAAAAATAATTATAATTAAAAGAAAAAAAACGCAAAAATATTAAAAATTTTATTCATTCAAAATTACAAAAAAAAAAAAAAACAAAATTCTATTAAAATTATAAAACCTTAATAATCCTTCAAATTTCTATAATATAAAATCGCATTATATAATACACTAATAAACACTATATACACACACACACGTTGTTAATATGTTATTATAAATATTAAAAATATACAACTATACTACTACTTTTTATTTATAAAATAAAAATCAAATAAAAATCAAATAAAAATCAAGGAATTTCTCGAAAAAAAAAAATTATATAAAAAAAATTTTTTTCTAAATAAAATTTAAAATCTAAATGTTAAATTTCGGTTCTGACTCGATTTCTCGGTATACTTTTCTTAAAATAATAAAATAGTATAAAATAAAATAAAAAAAACGCAAAAGAAAAAAATAATTATTAATTTCCTGAACGTTGGAATAAACAGATAACATCAGGATTCTTCCAAACCGGAGAAGTTCATCTTAGCATTGTAAGTTTTATTGACGTTATTTGTTTTTTTTTTTGTGTTATTTAGGTTATAACAAAAAGGATATTTAGCTTTAGGATTTTAGCTCTTTATTTTCTTTTTTGTTGTTATCTTTGATTAAAAAAGTTTAAGGACTATGTTTTTCTTATAAACCGCACAAAAAAAATAAAAGAGAACCTTCTTTTGTGCGAAGATCCATTGTGAATGCAAATATGACGTTGTAAATAATTGGTGAGAAATATGGTGAAAAATATTTTCTGCTTTTCCTTTGTTTGTTTTAATAACACACTGTGGTGTGTCTAGTTGGTGTTTCTTTTTATTACGATTGAAATTATTAAATAAACAAAAATTGTTAAATGAACAGTTTATTGGAGGGAATTCCACTTTAATGTCTTATTTGTAATATAAAACGTTGATAGGGAATTGTGCGATGAAAAGCTGGCCAAACTTCATATATGAGGGTCTTAAGTCTGTAAAGTAAAAACAAAAGAAAAGTGAAGGCTTTAAGTCTGTATTTTGTATGTATAGTTTTTAACAAAAGCGAGAACAATAAATAAAAGTGTAAGAATTAACATTTTTGAATAATTAAAATTTTTATTTGAATTAAGACTTTTTTATATTAGAATAATTTACATATCTTGTCAAAGCATATTTTATCGATGACATATTTATGCAGTTTAAGAATTACAACTTGATTAAATTAAGTTCTGTTTAAACATATTTCGAATTCATGCCGTTTTTATATGGTTTCATTGAAATATCGTAGTCAGCCTAATATTTCACCAAGGCACCTCTCTTTCAATCGCCTTCAATCTTTGATAGCACTAATATCTTCAAATAATTGGATATGTAAAAGCACAGATTATTGTAGATCTGGTTCAATCTTTAACTAAATTCTGTACTTCTATTATTCATCTTCTCCTTAGTTCCTGTTTCAGTCTCTTCTTATATTTAGACTAATTTTATAAACCGTACTAAAATCGGCATTCCTACCAGCTCAGGGAATTAAAAATAATAAGCATGCTATTCGAAAGGGATACCTTATCGGGCTCAAAGAAAATTATTGCTTTTGTGTATCGTCACTTATTATAAATGAGGTATTTTTGTTTACTATTGTTTTCCCTAATCAAACTAATTTCTTAATATTGTGTTAAATAAAAACAAACCTTACTTATTTACTAAATTTTTTTAGAGAAAATAAAACTTACTTCCAAGTCGTTAGATCAGGTATTATTCATTTTATGAAAAATTTTTGGGTTAATTATAGTCTTGTCAAAAGAAATGTTAAAACAGTTACATTTATTTTAAAATAAAGAATTTGTAGACGAAAAATGTAAAAACTTTTATTAAATTTTTTATTTCTTCAAAAACTCTATCTATTTCTTGAACCCTGTTGAACTTGGATTTTTTTTTCTAAAAATTTTTAAGACGGCAATTTAAAAAATGTCGTAATATGTATGAATGTACGAGTATATCAGTTATCACATTTTTAAAATTCCCAAGGGTGAATTTCGTTCCATTAAAATTTATTAAATATGACATCAATAAAAATTTTCGTAATAAATAAGTAATTTCTGGTCTGATTGATTGTCAATCGAAAATTTATTTTATAGCCAAAAATAATCAGTGCTATCTTATTTATTTTAGTACGATTGGCTCTTACTATGAGTATAACAAACATACTTAAATAGCTTTTACTTTATGGATGGTTTAGTTGAAAAAGTTTTTTATAAGATTTGCAGTAAGTGTAAAAATATGTAAAAAATATGTAGCAAATAATTAATAAATAAAATCAAAAGACAATTTTGAGAAACAGCAACTTGATTTGCCTTTATTAGCAAGACTTTAGTGAAATTTTTGTGTGATCTGAACGGCATAAGATTAAATAGTTTGCTTATATTGTTTACCTAGTCAAATAAGTGTATTAAATTTAGTTTGTATGATGCGAAGAGGGATATTTGATTGGATAAATCCAGTTTCTTAGCTTTCAGGCAAATATGCAATATTTAGTTTTGCAATTGCTTGATTGCCTGTTTGTATTCCATTTTGTTTAATAATTGTAATTTTCATAATTGTAATTTTTTTACAAACTCATTGTAATTTTTAGTTAACAGACGCGATTTGAATTAACACAATAGTTTAGTTGCTTAGATGCACGCGCAACAATTTTACAATCAACTAGTTATTGCAAATTTTAAAATTGCATGCATGAGTTCTTAAATGACAGTCAGCAAACTATGCAATTTAAATAGAAGCAAATTAACTTGATTTTCGTTTAAAAGTTTATAAAATCTTGCATATGAGTTTTATTTATTGGTTAGAAAAATAGTTTAAATAAACTTTTGAGAAAATTTATAACCCAAATCAATTTTGAAAATCAATTTAAAAAAATATAATCTATAGATTCTAGGCATTTTATACATACATACTTTATAAAAGAAAATTCAAAATTTTAAAATTGAGAAGCTTTAATTTCGTTTTTTGTCGTTTCTATGTATTTTTCGCTTATAAATTTATTTTTATATATTCTTGATGTAAGGCATTTAATATATTTTGGTTAGGATAATATGTAACTCGTTTTAATTCCCTTAGGGTATTCATAATGCTGGTGATTCGCTTAAGTTGCAAAAGAAAATGCTTATAAAATCATGTTTCATGGAGTTTCAAATTGCAAATATGAAAATATATAGAGTTTATCACTTGATCTCATCAACTACTTTGGAAGTTAACATGCTTAAAAAATTAATGAGAGCTATAAAAGGAATTGGTATCATACCATTTGGTTTAACTTTTATATTTAGAAATTTATTTTGAATCGTTCTTTCGACTTAAAATCGCTTAAAACCCAAAGCAATTTTATATGACTGCTGACAGAGGCGAATGTTTAAAGATTCAAATGACATACAATATCACCCGGCTCTATGTGCCTAATTATATTACTTAATTACCCAATAGACATTATTTTTGTGGGATCCATTTCAAAATTATCGAATAATGACCACGAAAATGAGACGATAGAGCGATATTTATAGACCAAATTGAGACGATATAGACGATATTTAACATAGTTGAACTTAATTAAAATTCATTATGATGAAAATATCCAAAATTGAAAGTTTATTGGTTAAAAATATGTTTTTATATAAATATGACTGGCTTAATTTGCATTTAAGACAACAACCTGAACCGAAAAGGTGAAGGCTTTTAAATATAAAACGTGTCATTTAAAATGTCAACTACATACAATAATCATAATTTTTCAAATTTTCTAATTAAGATTTCCATCTGTGACTCACAAATGAATTTGTATGTTCTATGGGTAAAATGCGTTTTCAGAAGCATAAATTTTCAGTTCGTTTTGATTAATTACTGTAATTTTACACTAGATATCGATCTGCGAATTTAAATTCTTGAAATTATTTAAAAAATTATATTTGCTCCCCCATCAGTTCCTTAGATAATGTTAGATCCTTCTTCAAACTTTAATATCAATATTGAAAACAAATACAAAAAATAAAAATAAAATAAGTTCCGAAACCAATAAAAAAAAACTCAAAGAAAAACAAAAAAGAAAATTATGAAAAATAACTGAATAACCGACCGTAATTACTTATTCATTTGAAAGAGGAATCCTCCAACATTCCCTGTTGGATTAAAAACAAAATATTCTTTCATTTTATTTTAAATTCTTTTCAATTTTTGTTCCAGAGAATCATTTTATTTTAAACTATGTAAACATTTATAATGAATTTTATATTTGGAAGAATATACATATATGTATACGTGCGTATTATATAATTGGGTATAGTTATATTATATAGTTGGGTAAATAATAGTGTAGCCAGAGTATAAAAAATTTAACAACAATACCATTAAAAATTTGAATATTCAAATTGTTGCAAATTTGTACAATTTGAGTTTATTTTTCGAACAATACAAGTGAAGTTGCTGAATGTAGATCGTAGATTATTTGGTAGAACAGCTAAAATAACACGGTCAGGATACGATAAAAAGAAATCGATTACTCACGAACCATGCAGTTAGCTTATGATTCTCTTTTAATTCGTCAGAGTTAACAATTTTCACGAATTTCTACATAAAGCCAGTTTATTCTCGTTTGAAGGGACAGACATGATTAAACTAGAGGAAAATTGGATGGAAATAAAGAGGTTGTTGGAAATGACGGATTCCTAAAAAATGGTGACCCTGATGCCTTGACTTAATTCTGAAATACAGTGATGAATGGTTAACGATCCAGATAGTGATAGAAAATCGTCACAATGGTGCTAATCGAAACGTCGGTTTGCAAATTGTAACGGTAACTTTAACCAAGCATAATCGTATAACGTGAACATGAAATGATGCACGTGACACTTGAGAATTTTTCTATTATGGTTTGTTTGTTGTTTTGTATTTGTCTGCGTATTTTACTCTTCATTGCTTTTATTTTTTGCTTACATTGCAAGACCGTTCCGAAAAGATTTTCTCATTTATCATGTTGGTTAAAAATTCTTTTTCATTTCTCTTTTTCTCCATTTTGTTTAATTTTTTCAAAGATTTTCTTTATTTTTTTTTTTTGGTTTTTTGTATATTGTGCTTTTTTTTTTTTTTGAATGATTTTAACAATTTTTAGTTGTTGTTTTGAGTTTTCATTGTATAAATTTGTTCTTTAACCTATGCTTCATTTTTCGTAACCAGAACTTTTTATTTACATTATTTTTGCTTTCTTATTTTTTTTTCTTGTTATTTTATTGTGATAAAATATTTTCATTGTTTATTTTCGTATGTGTACATGTGTGTATGCATTGGTAAGAAGGGATTTTTTTGTAACTAAGAATTTAGGAGTTGAGTAGGTTATATGATCCTTACATATATGGTACATGGTATGTATGCGTATAGGTGCTCTTTCTACAGAAAAAGTTTTACTAAAATAATAAAAAAAATAAAAATCATGAAGGTGAAAATTTTTTCTTTTATTTTTTCCAAAAACAATATTTTTTTTT